TTCAAGACAATAACCAATAAAATGCTTCGCTGGGGCGCAGCTTGATACGACCGCAGAGGTCGAACCCTGAACAGTTGGGGCAAGTATGGACACAAAATTCAAGCTTGATACAGCTATGACTTTGGATTGTCATTAAATATTTCACAGCATAGGTTTCTGACACAGGATGAATGTGGTGTAAGAACTGGAAAAATTTAATTTACCTATTATGGTGGAATATCCATAAACTAAATTGTTTGTTAATTTCAATATATCAAAGAATATGTAGAATTCAATGTTTGATGTAATGTAATAAAGTTGAAATTTGGACTGTTTTTGTTCAATGTGGACCAATTTGGTAACATGTATAAATAATCAAAAATCTAAATACATGGGAGCCCATTTAAATACATCATAAAGGTATTAAAATAGAAAGTGACATCATAGTCATGGCTAAAAATAAACAAAAATCCTTAATCAGCAACATTTAAAGTAATATCTAAAAATAAAATTCCTTTGTAACCATAAAAGCCCATTTAAATACATCATAAAGATATTAAAATAGAAAATGACATCATAGTCATGGCTAAACATAGCAAAAAACCCTTAATCAGCATCATTTAACAGTAATATCTAATAAAATGCTCCGCTGGGGCGCAGCTTGATACGACCGCAGAGGTCGAACCCTGAACAGTTGGGGCAAGTATGGACACAACATTCAAGCTTGATACAGCACTGAATTTGGATTGTAATTAAATATTTGACACAGCATAGGTTTCTGACACAGAATGAAAGTGGTCTAAGAACTTAAAAATTTTCAATTTACCTATTCATACATGTGATGGACTGTGAAACTCAGATCAGGAGATTGGGAAATTTTGGTCAGGAGATTAGGACTCAGATCAGGAGGTTTTTAATTGACATTAATTTTGTTGTAAATGTAACCGTGTGCTGTAAAAATGGTCTTTTAAAGTGTGTTTTCTTCAACTTTCCATCCAATTTATTATGTTTATAGTACCCTTGTACTTATAAAGTTTCTCCATCTTTATATTCTACATGTTCAATCTAACATTGTTTTTTTCCAGTATGTTCTTTAAATTTTTTACTTCATATTCTATAAAACAATCATTGCAACCAGAACATTCTTTTAGCTGTCTGCAAATAGTTTTTATTTATTTTTTTTTTCTCTTGCAAATAGTTTTTATTTTTTTTTTTTATCTTTATTTATGGAACGCCACAGCTGTCTTATGTGGAACTCTGATATTACTTTATGTTGTTTTATTATTACTTGATGATATTTTGTCTTTACTTAATATGGTTTTGACATTACGTAATGATGTTTTGATATAACTCAATATGGAATAGTCATTACTTAATGATATTTCGATATTACACGATATGGTTTCGTATTGACTTGATATAGTTTTGTCATTACTCAATATGGTTTTGTCATTACTCGATGTGGTTTCACCATTATTTAATGTGGTTGTGTCATTAGTCAATGTGGTTTTAACATTATTTAATGTGGTTGTGTCATTAGTCAATGTGGTTTTAACATTACTTGATGTGAATGTGACTTAACGTTATGTAGTTGTTTCATTACATGATGTGGTTTTGTTATTTTTTAATGATGATTTGCCTATTCTTTATATGGTTTTAACATTACGTTATGATGTTTCAAAATTTGACGATTTTACACTACATGATGTGTTTGTTTCATTATTTGATGTGGTCCTGTCATTCTTTGATGTGGTTATCCCATTACTTGATGAGGTAAAATCACGTGACCAATTCGGAAAAACCTGTTCTATTTTTAGATAGATTTCAGGTTGTATGTGCCTGGGATGAGTGTTGCCATCCATCGAATTTGAGTTCGGGTTACTGTTTGAGTTAAACTTTGAGTTAGTCTTCGATTTCGAATTCAAGTCATTATTAGAATTAAAATTTTAGTTAGCATTGAGTTTCGAGTTGGACTTCGAGTTTGAGTCACATTTAAGGGTAGAGTTCTAGTTACAACATTAAATTTGAGTCACTTTTTGAGGTAGAGTTTGAGTAAGATTCGAATTTAAGTCTCATTTAGATTAATTCAGATTATGAGTTGAAATTCGAGCTATCTTATATGGGTTCGTAATTAAATTTTCTATCGCGGAACAAGGACTTTTGCTCGGGCTTCCGAAAAGAGGGCTCCGAGTTATGCGTACAAAAGATAAACAATGTTACAGTATACAAAACGCAACATAGAAGTTGAAATAAAGCTAGATGTGGTGTGATTGACAATGAGACAACTATCCACCAGAGTTTAAATGCAGTGGATGTAAGAAATCATATATAGGCAACCGTACAGCCTTCAACACACCGTTTAGTCAGCTACAAAAGGCCACCATGCACCATGTGAAAAAATTCAAACGAAAAAACAAACGGTCTTATTTATAAATAAACAATCTACAAAAAAACTCACATTTATACAACGACAACAATTGAACTTCATGCTCCTGACTTGGGGCAGGTACATAAAGAAAGTGCACGTGGCGGAGTTTAACATGTATGTGAGCGCTAAATCCTAACCTTACATCGGACTGTTACAGTTGTGTAACAGCACAACACGAGAAAAAAAAAGTAAACTAGACAAAGTGATGCCCCCGCACTCAACTCATTTAACCGCTTATACCCCAAAAATGACAAAAACAAGTTCAATTGTCTCCCAAAAAGAGCAAAAGATAATAAAAATAAAAACCCTGACCACATGCACACCTACAATATATGTACAAACAGCCAGCAGAGTGAAAACTTCCTAGCATTCAAACTGTAGGAGGAGTTATCTGGAAACGCTCTTCTTATGCAAGGAAATTTCCCAAAAAATTACAAAGTTCAACTATCTCCCAAAAAAGCAAATATTAATAAACATTAAACCCTGACCACATGCACACCTTCAATATATGTACAAACAGACAGTAAAGAGAAAACTTCCTTGGATTCAAACTGTAGGAGGAGTTATGCGGAATAACTATATACCCATAATGGGACGGACAGACGGACGGACGGACGGACGGACAGGGGTAAAACAATATGCCCCCCAGCTTTCAGTTGCGGTAGCATACAAAACAGTTTCATTTGGTTGATTCAATAGATCGGTATGACTGGGTAATATAAATCCATCGGGGTGATCTCGGATGCTCCAGAAAGGCACCCGTCGTGTTATTCGAGAAAGTACAAACCCAGTGATTTGGGTTTATTTGGAAGTTTACATTCAAGGAAAAGATGACGGTATTATGGTTACGACCACTGGAACGTGTCCGTCGTCACATGTGAAACAGATATTCCAAAAAGTTTATTTTTCAATTAGTGCGAGGTAGATCAGGGAATTCAATTGATTACAAATAAAAGATTGATATTCGTATAAGTTCAAATGATCATTTACGCTAAAAAAAATCGGAGAATTCTTATTTTATAGTATTGATGCTTTGTCGCTAAGTCCGAGCCCCTTCTCCCCCCGTTTCCCTGTAACTTTAGTGTGAGTTGATTTGAAGTGTTTCATTTGTTAACAATAAAGTTCAAGTCTTTTGATTTGTGTCGAGCCTGCGACATCAATGTAGCGGCAGTGAGACACAACAAACCTATATTTCGTCGTCGATAGTGGCGTCGGCGTCTCCATCTCCATTTTTTTTTATTTCTATTGAGTTTAACCTTTCATTATACATGTTACTAAACATGTATGCCATCATAATTTTGTACTTTTAGAATATCATACTGTATTTGTTTACCTCGACTATTGTATCTGTATTTATATTGTATGTTTCTCTGTAAACTTGTATTTACTTTTTAGAGAATAAAGTATCTATGTATCTATAGATCGTTAGGTTTCTAGTTTTTTACATTTTTCATTTCGGGACCTTTTATAGCTTACTATAGGGTATGGGTTTTGCTCATTATTGAAAACCATACAGTTTTGTTTTAGTTAATAAAAACCGAATTAAACTGTTTTGACATGATAAATTTGTAAACCTCAATGAAGTGTTTTAAAACTTGTATAGGAGTTATTCCTCAATTTCAAGAAAAAGCATCTACAGAAAAACATTTTTTTTTTAATTTTGTTTTTACCGATAAATGTATAGATAAATGTACAGTCGATCAACATGACGCTTTTACACTTACAGCAGCAATATCAGGCGAGACACATGGTTCCGTGGAATATTTTACAAATTTATTACAAAAATACTGCTTCCGTTTGAGAACTTAGGATAAAAACAACAGGACCAAGTGGTTTGGGAATATCCCAATTATGTCCGAAATACTGTAAACTTTTTAATACTTTTTTTCTTATTATTGTCTGCCGTTCCCCTTTTTCATATCAAATAACTCTGAACAACCACTCGAACTTTAATTTGAACTTTAACTCAATGGATTAGCGATACCCATCCAAAGCACCTTAAACAAACGCTATATTGAAATCTGTTTAAAAATAGAACATATTTTTTTCCGAATTGGTCACGTGGTTTTACGTCATCAAGTAATGGGATAACCACATCAAAGAATGACAGGACCACATCAAATAATGAAACAAACACATCATGTAGTGTAAAATCGTCAAATTTTGAAACATCATTGCGTAATGTTAAAACCATATAAAGAATAGGCAAATCATCATTACGAAATAACAAAACCACATCATGTAATGAAACAACTACATAACGTTAAGTCACATTCACATCAAGTAATGTTAAAACCACATTGACTAATGACACAACCACATTAAATAATGGTGAAACCACATCGAGTAATGACAAAACCATATTGAGTAATGACAAAACTATATCAAGTCAATACGAAACCATATCGTGTAATATCGAAATATCATTAAGTAATGACTATTCCATATTGAGTTATATCAAAACATCATTACGTAATGTCAAAACCATATTAAGTAAAGACAAAATATCATCAAGTAATAATAAAACAACATAAAGTAATATCAGAGTTCCACATAAGACAGCTGTGGCGTTCCATATTTATTATACAAATAGTTTTTATTTGCAAACTCAGAAATTCATTCTATCTGTAAAGTTAGGGTCATAGTTATTATATAAATTTCAATTTAAGCCTTAAAAGGAAGTATAGAATCCTCAAATAATTTTCAAATTATTATTTTTTTATTTGTCCTAAGACATTTAAAATCATTTAATAACCATCCTTTTATGATTATTTGTTCAATTTATATTTTATTTATATTCTTTTAAAAATTTTCATTATTAAATGGAAAGTAACTTAAAACAGGATAAATCAAGGGAAGTAACCCAATAAATACACAGTTTTTGTTACACAACGGCAGTTAGCCTGAGGTAAAAATCGTTGCTTACCAGTATGTTTGACACCCAAGCTGACAAGTGAAGCCATATAATTATGCATGTTAATTGATTTACAGGTAAAATATAACTTCAGGTAATGTCAGTTACACCAGATGCCTGAGATGATATGTTGGGCAGAAATTTTTCATTCATGAAAAATTTCATACACGGGATTTTTTCCTCTTCAACGGGAGGTCGGGAGGAGACCCCTGAAAACGGGATTATTGTACTCCCGTCGGGAGGTTCACATGTATGCCTATTCAAACCATATCATTATTATTTGCTTTTATATATAAATCAGAAATAACCAATTTAAAATGGAAAATGTTAAAGAAAAAAAAGGAAAAAAAAAATCCCCCCCCAATTTTTTGAACCCCCTTATGATTCACCGCCCCCAAACTCAATCCCAGCTTTCCCTTTGTGGTATGGTACCTTGCACTACAATTTCAGAGAGATTCATACACTTGAACACAAGTTATTGTCTGGAAACTAGAAAAATGCTTGTTTTTTGGCCCCTTTTTGGCCCCAAATTCCTAAACGTTTAGGGCAATTACCCCCAAACTCAATTCCAGCTTTCCCTTTGTGATATGGAACCTTGCAGTACAATTTCATAAAGATCCATACACTTACACACAAGTTATTGTCCTGAAACTAGAAAAATGCATGTTTTTTTGCCCTTTTATGGCCCCTAATTACTAAAATTTTGAGTGAAAACCCCCAAAATCAATCCCAGCCTTCCCTTTGTGATATGGAACCTTGTAGTACAATTTCATAAAGATCCATACATTTACAAACAAGTTATTGTCATGAAACTAGAAAAATGCTTGTTTTTTGCCCCTTTTTGGCCCCTAATTCCTAATATTTGGAGGAAATTACCCCAAAAATCAATCCCAGTATTCCCTTTGTGATATGGAACCTTGTAGTACAATTTCATAAAGATCCATACACTTACAAGCAAGTTATTGTCATGAAACTAGAAAAATGCTTGTTTTTTGCCCCTTTTTGGCCCCTAATTCCTAAAATTTGGAGACAATTACCCCCAAAATCAATCCCAGCATTCCCTTTGTGATATGGAACCTTGTGGTACAATGTCAGAGAGATCCATACACTTACACACAAGTTATGTCTGGAAGTTACAAAAATGCTTATTTTTGGCCCCTTTTGGCCCCTAATTCCTTAACTGTTAGTACCATAACCCCCAAAATCAATCCCCACCTTCCTTTTGTGGTATTGAACCTTATGGTAAAATTTCAATGAGATCCATTCACTTAAACTAAAGTTAGAGTGCGAAAACTAATGTGTATTCGGACGAATAGTCATGGCTAAACATAGCAAAAACCTTAATCAGCATCATTTAACAGTAATATCTAAAAATGGAAATTACATCATAAAGGTATTAAAATAGAAAATGACATCATAGCCATGGCTAAAAATAAACAAAATCCTTAATCAGCATCAGCAACATTTTATAGTAATATCTAAAAATAAAATTCCTTTGTAACCATAAAAGCCCATTTAAATACATCATAACAGATATTAAAATAGAAAATGACATCATAGTCATGGCTAAACATAGCAAAAACCTTAATCAGCATCATTTAACAGTAATATCTAAAAATGGAAATTACATCATAAAGGTATTAAAATAGAAAATGACATCATAGTCATGGCTAAAAATAAACAAAATCCTTAATCAGCATCAGCAACATTTTATAGTAATATCTAAAAATAAAATTCCTTTGTAACCATAAAAGCCCATTTAAATACATCATTACAGATATTAAAAAAGAAAATGACATCATAGTCATGGCTAAACCTAGCAAAAACCTTAATCAGCATCATTTAACAGTAATATCTAAAAATAAAAATTTCTTTGCAACCATAAAAGTAAAATAGAAAATGACATCATAATCATAGCTAAAAATAAACAAAAATTTTTTTTATTGGCAAATTTTAAATGGAGTTTATTATACTAAAACAATAAATTTGCAACCATAAACATGATAAAACTCCATTTAAACACATCATAAAAGTATTAAATAATTCAACTACTTCATAAGGCTATAAAAATAGAAAATGACTTCATAGTCAAGGCTAAAGGTAAACAAAAAACCTTCATCAGCAAAATTTTATATTGGCAAATTTCCAATGAAGTTTATTACACTAAAATTGTTGGCAAATTTCCAATGCATTTATTAACAATAAAGTTATTGGCAAATTTCCAATTCACATAATTTAAAAGCAGTGTAGATGAGATATTTAAATGAGTTTGAATTACCAACCTTACACTGCTTTTAAATAATGTTCTTTACTCAATTATTTGTCTATTAAAATGGAAACCCTTGTTTTTTAACCTTTTTTCCCCTTATTCCTTAAACATTAGAGCCCCAAAGCCAATTATTACTTTCCAATGTAACCTAAATTTCCAATATACATAATTTTAAATTTCAATTCCTCATGATATATAACCGTATCATTATTATTTTCTTTCATATATAAATCTGAAACAACCATCTTTAAATGGAAAATTTTAAAGAAAAAAAAAGGAAAAAAAAAAATCCTACCCCACACACATTTTTTCAACCCCCTTTTGATTCATCATCCCCCACCTCAATCACAACCTTCAATTTGTGGTATGGTACATTGCAATACAATTTCACAGAGATCCATACACTTGAACACAAGTTTTTGTTGCAAACTAAAAAAATCCTTATTTTCGACCAATATTTGGCCCCTTATTCATAAATGTTTGAGCAATTAACCCCAAAACTCAATTCCTACTTTCTCTTCGTGATAAAAAATAACTAACTTAAAATGTAAATTTTAAACAAAAAAAAAAGGAAAAAAAAAATTACCCCTTTTTTGACCCCCGCCCCCCTTATGATTCATCACCCCCACCCCCCTTTCCCCCCAAACCAAGCTCAATAACAGCCTTGCCTTTGTGGTATGGTACCTTGTAATACAATTTTAGAGAGATCCATACACTTGAACACAAGTTATTGTCTGGAAACTAAAAAATGCTTATTTTAAACCCCTTTTTAGGCCCCTTATTACTAAACGTTTAGGGCAATTACCACAACACTCAATTCCAGCTTTCCCTTTGTGAAATGGAACCTTGTAGTAAAATTTCAGAAAGATCCATACACTTACACACAAGTTATTGTCATGAAACTAGAAAAATGCTTGTTTTTTGCCCCCTTTTGGCCCCTTATTCCTAAAATTTTGAGGCAATTAACCCCAAAATCAATCCCAGCATTGACCCTTTGTGATATGGAATCTTGTGGTACAATGTCAAAGAGATCCATATGCTAACACACAAGTTATGTCTGGAAGTTACAAAAATGCTTATTTTCGGCCCCTTTTTGGCCCCTAATTCCTTAACTGTTGGTACCATAACCCCCAAAATCAATCCCCACCTTCCTATTGTGGTATTGAACCTTATGGTAAAATTTCATAGAGATCCATTCACTTAAACTAAAGTTAGAGTGCGAAAACCATTGTGTAATCGGACGACAACGCCGGACGACGACGACGACGACGCCAACGTCATACCAATATACGACCTCAAAATTTTTTTGCGGTCGTATAAAAACTGCAAAATTTCCATAAAATTACCAATTCAGGGGCAGCAACCCAACGACAGGTTTTCTGATTTTTCTGAAAATTTCAGGGCCGATAGATCTAGACCTGATGAATATTTTAACCTTATCAGATTTGCTCTAAATGCTTTAGTTTCAGAGATATAAGCCAAAAACTACATTTTACCTCCATGTTCTATTTTTAGCCATGGCGGCAATCTTGGTTGATGGGCGGGGTCATCGGGTACATTTTTTAACTAGATACACTAAGGATGATTTAGGCCAAGTTTGGTTTAATTTGGCCCAGTAGTTTCAGAGGAGAAGATTTTTGTAAAAGTTAACGACAACGACGATGGACGCCAAGTGATGAGGAAAGCTCACTTGGCCCTCTGGTCCAGGTGAGCTAAAAATACAAATAACAGGTATAAATTAATAATTGTCATTGTATGGCATAAACTCCAAACAACAGTACATTTTCATTCATGTGACTTATTTGCATGTCTTGCCATGATGCTTATTTTATTTTTCACTTTTACAATATCTGCCTATTTATAAAAGTTTTCAAGATATTAACATGTATAACACAAAAATTTGTAAAATAATCAACACTTAATTGATGATCATTTGCTATTTACAATTTCAGATGTATTTTATGACATATGTATGTATTATTGCTTTCAAGATGTTAGGTAGGAATGTTTAAATTAGTCAAGAATCCTCAACTTGGGTCAATATTTCTATCAGGATTCTTCTGATAATATTGGTTTTTAAAATTGTTGAGAAAGTAGGCACATGAACATTCCGAGCTTTTGTCACATTTTCTATAATGGTGGCGTAGACATTAATCAATGACTTGCAATTTCCCCCTTTTGTTATATTTTCAGTAATAACAGTCATTTTAATTCATTGACAGGAACACAGAACCAAATCTAAAAAAGAGAGCATGATAAATACAGTACCATAACTCCTCAATGTCATATCTGAAATTTATAAAAAAAAACTAAATGGAACTTACTTTAATAGAGATAAACCAGTCATCAAAGTTTCATGAAAACTGCTCAATGGATTTTTGAGTTATTGTTCTGAAAACTAGAAAATCCTCTTTTTTTTATGAATAAAGTCCCAATACTCCAAACTATAAAATCAGAAAATTAAAAAAATCAAAAGGGAACTTATGTCAATATATTTAAACAATTAACCAAAGTTTCATAAAAACAAGCATTTTTAAGTTATAGTCAGAAAACTCGAAAATCACCAATTTTTTATGAATAAAATCTCACAACTCAGAAAGGTAATATCTAAAATTTATAAAAATCATAAGGGAGCTTACGTCAGTAGATATAAAAAATTCACAAAAGTTTCATGAAATTTGGTTAAAGCAATTTTGAGTTATTGTCCAACTTGTTGACGATGGATGGACAACTGTATACCATAATACGCCCGTAAATGGGCATACAAAAATAGATGCCCTATGGATTATTTGACCAACTTTGGTTTTAGTCAGTTTGCCTGGTGATTTCAGAGGAGAACTTTTCTCTTTGAATTTACAGACAGTTGAAGACAAGACATATCATGGATGCCAACTGATAATATAAGAATGGATCTAAATTTTTTTTTGGCCAGATGAGATAAAAAGCAGCTTATCTGAAGCTTAATATCATTAAATTCTGGTTAATTACCATAATTTTTTTGGAATAAAATTTTCAAAATTTCCTTACGATTACTAAGAAGTTTCTATCCTACCTGGAAGGTTCAGTTAAACAGAAAGCAGCCAGATGTTCACCTGTTGCTAGTTTTGGAAGATATTTTTGTTTCTGAGATTCAGTTCCAGCAATCAGTATTCCCTGTATAAATATAATTAAGATTCACAAAAAACATGTAAACCATAAAGATAGACTTTCTATTCACATCAACAAAATACCAAAAGGGTAAAAAAAGTCATACTTTGGACTACTGAAGATAAATACTAAAACTAAATCAATACCAGCAAGATCATTTTTATTGGTCACTAGATAGTGTAATATGTCATAAATTTAAATTCCGCTATGGACTTAAAAATATGTATGACTTTTGACTAACTCCTATGTCTATTAGTGGACTGGTTCACTGTTATAAATGATAAGCACTTCCTGGCAAATTAATACATGTAACATTCTCCAAATGTGATTGCTCTTGTTCTTCTGTTTTGAAATTATTGCTAAAGTTTATCATAAATAACAGGTTTCTGTAGATAAAAACATTACGAAAAAAGTAATGAAAGTATGGGTACTCTTTTCCAATTACCTTAAATAAAAAAACAAAAACATAAAATAAATCAATTTGAAAACTTTTACAGAAACCTTTATATTCTGAAGCTTTATACAAGACATTTCAGCATCCAATTATTTTTACTCTTTCTGCCTCTGAAGAAAAGTGTTGCATTTCCTGTGATTAAAGTGAAGAGATGGAGTAATAGCTCAATGCTATACCCCTCACTAATCACTAATGCACTACTTGGCAGTTAATATAATTTTCTACTTTAATATTGTCTTACTTTTAGGCCAATGGACTGGTGGGCTGCTAATGTGACTGATATAGAACCATCAAGTGCTGTTATTTCTGCTAGTCTGGCAAATTCTGTAGCATTAAGTCCTAACCCACCTAAAATGTTCAAAACTATATATTTTCTGCATTGAAAATATATATATGTTCCGGACCATATGAGTATTTGGACTATATGAGTTTGGTC